ACCGAGACGTTCTATGGTAACCATCATATATCATTGGCAGTGAAAGGTAAGTTTAAACAGATTGTTATCTTAGTGTATTTCTTATTAAGGCACACCAAATTCTCACGTTTTCAAACAACTTTGCTTTAGCTAATTGGTTGCATTTTTGATTTAATTGAAAGAAGAGTCTTTAGAGTCACTTAAGAAAGCCCTCTTGAAAAAAGTTCAGAAACTAGATTAATATAAAGGCGAATTATCGAGGACATCAAAGGATTCCACTTTATTTGAACTTCTAAAAAARTTCCATTTAATTTTGTTTGCATTTTAATTTAGTTTTAAACCGCYATTTTGAATCATGCAAGAGAAAATTCGTTTTTTGGATCGAACAGGCGGCCATTTTGAATTTACACTGTACAGTAATTGTTTTTGTAAGAAATTATGGGATGCCTAGAGGCCCTTGAAYGAAAACTGAATAGACTGTCTGACAGCTTTCTGTTGAGAATGTTACCCAATTCAATTCTCTCAAACGTAAAACCAAAGCTGATAGCCGAACATATTTAGCTGATAAATTTTGAAGAAAGAAATGTCACTTGTTATAATCAAACAGTTCAACATAATGTTCAATTTGTTTGTTCCTTGGACATCGCCGCCGTAATTTCGGCTTTGTTCTCAATATGGCGTACCGTATTGATGATTTGAGATCAGAAAATGCTTGTTTGGTCGGTTTTTGATGATTATTCTTGCGGCACCTAATTGTATTTAGCTATTACTAATAGCTATTACATAGTATGTGCGTGTTACGTTTAAAAATAAAGTAGAATTGAAAACGTCTTCTTACACTTGCCGAGATCTTCATCACTAAAAATCGATTCAGTAATTATTTTATTATCCTTCACACTGCCGATAAGCGAATCTATGTGAGTGGAATTGAAATGAGACTTGCACATTTGTGCGGGGTTAAATTAAGATGTGAGAAAATCACTTAGGTGTGCAAACTACAGATTAGTGAATATTAGGAATAGTTTATTGGTTAGCCCCAGTAATCTAGACTGCTTACTTTATGAAATAATGTGTATGATATTGACCAATCAGAGCAAAGGTAGCGAGTACAGAAAACCTTCCAATTTTGAACTACAAGGAAGGTTAACTGGATGTATTTATTAATCTCGTATAAAGATGAAGAAATATTAAAAAAACAATAAGAAATAGTTAATTTTACTTCTATTTTCAAGGTTTCACGTTAGTGTTAATTCTGCAGGTTTAGTTTTCATATGCTTTTTTATAGTAAATTTTATGCCTATTTTGTTGTTATGAATTATAAATAAGAAGCTCTTTACTTGATAATGCTTCCATTTTAAGCCATTTTATAATTATCTTCCTTCGCCTTTCGAAGCTGGAGCGTCTGGAACAATAGAGTCCCATATAGCGCGCGGTCTGCGACTTGTAGGTACTTTTAATAATTCAAGAAACATGTCTAATATTTTAATTTGTTTTTATCTTGTTGATCAGTTAACACGTTGACTTWATTCAGCGTGTCACCTCTGCACAAATGTATAATGTTTAAGATAAGTCCCAAACAGTATTTATCAAAATGACATTTCCTTTTAACAAGAGGATTTTAGCGTGGACAAGTGATAATTGTCTCGAACAATCGTTACAGTAAACAATCTGTTCACAAACAGACTCTCATGCGCAGGTGCTCGTCCACCAACTTTCAGTATTACTGTTGATTTAGTAAATACTAACCCATTTGGAACAACCAAGAAATCAAAATGAGATTGATGATAGGGCGATTGGTAATATAAACACTTGATTTTAAGGAAGGACGAAATGCTAATATTTGGAAATTGGTGATCATTTTATAATCAAGTTGACAAGGGGAAGAAGAATACGTGACAAAAAAAAATGACTCTGAAATTTAGGAAAAAGTCATTAAAAAATATGGTGTAATGGAGTTTAGGAATTGCATGGTTTTAGGATAATTTTTGATAATTTTGGACTAAATGTTGGCATTTGATGCGTCATAAGAGCCAAATGTCGCTGTGAAAGGACAATGATAATATACAAATGAAGGCAGAAAAATAATACATGAATATGTGGGTGGACTTTTGAATAAATGAATGGATAGATTAAAAAATAGATGGGTAAAAGAATGGATGATTGAATAAAAAAAACAGGATAAAAAAAGAAAAAAAAACAGGATGGAGGAAGGAAAGTAGAAACAATTGCGTGTAATCTGAATGAATGAATGAATGAAAGGAAAGAAACTAAGAAAGGAAAGATATTTAGATGTAGGTTGTTCTAGAGGAAATTCATACAGTTTAGAATGAATATCTATTCTGAGTAAATTAAYCGATGAACAAGCCATCTCATTATASTGACGCTGTGAACATCAGGTAAATGAAAACTAGTAACGAGTKTTTGTAGAAAACTCTTTGAAAAAGACATTTTCAATCAGTAAATAGGTAAACAAATGAATATGAGAGTAGAACTAATAAATTAATGCCAAAATAAGTCCATTAATGAGGAAGTGTAAATAAGCCAAACTTTGAAACATCAAATTTGGTGGCCATGTTCATGTTTTCAAATCGTAGGATTCTACGCAATAAAAGTGGAAAGCCAAAATGAGAACAAAACATCTACATATAATATAAGTAATGTATATACATGAAACTATGAATTATTTATGCCAGAGTAATTGATGTAATTAACCGTAAATGGCGGTACAGAACAAACATCCAGATTGCTATTTTCAAGCTTAATGCTTTTCTAATTTTTCAACTGATTTTGAGCATCAAAATTCAATAAAAACTTAGCATTCAATCTCTGATTTACATTTCCTTCATTAACCATCGGCTGAACAAACCCAACGGTGTGTAAAAACCTGTGCCTTAATACGCGGTCGCAAAACTGACACGCAAGATGACAGATGTTGGTAAATTTAGACGTATGCTGGGTACAGCATGTAAACGTAGAAGCATAGAGATGGCTATAATAACGTCTACCACAAACCCCATGAAGGTTTTTAGCTAATGTAATGTGTTATAGTAATGAATTTTTGATATTCAAGGAAACATTATGAATAAACTATGATTTTTAATTGGAGTTTTTTTTTCTACTTATGGACATATATACTCGCTTCATTTTCAGTGACATTAAAAAATTTCTTTAAATATGTTTGAAATAATGTCGTCAATTTTGGCATGCATGGATTTCAAGTTGTTTCATGTATAATTTTTTCTTCTGTTATCAATGCTAAAATTTTTTTTCTTTTTTCTTTGCGAAACAATAGTTCATTTTGAACTGAACATTAGGCAGAATACGGTCTTATCTTTTTATTGTACTGTTTGTCCTGTATTGCCCACAGAGAACACAACGGGTTTAAGAGAGTAAATGAATTGCAAGGATCACGGGGGAGGGTCCCCAGTGGCAGCATAATGAGTGTAATCGGACGAAACACAACGTATGAGTCAATATCTAAAGACTGCTCGAACACTGGGCACACATGCGGGCACTCCTTGGCAGGCTGTGAGTAATGCTCTTAGCGGAGTCCTTAGCGAGATAGACCCATTAGAACTCAAAGTGCTTCTTTTTGTAAGGTATGGTTTGTGTGAATAACACTCTTCTCCAACAATGTAAAAATGAAACGGTTTTAAGAATATTTTATGTGTTTTGCACTTGGTTTCGATCTGGGCTTTTTTGTATTTTACTGGCTTGGTTGTAAGTAGTTCTTTTAATTAACTGTGCTGATTCTAGATCAGATACTATCAATATGCCATGTCTTGTATTTGAATAAGTAAAGACAGGAAAATAGCGAAAATCGAATTATGGAAATGAATCAAAAGTGAGGTTTTTTGAATGGATTCTAGTTGCCTCACGCAAAATGGGAAATTTAAAAAGACTAAAAGTTGAAGTAGTGAACTTTACAGCGATTTTTACAAAGAAAATAACACGGTTTCTCTTGTTATAACAAGGCATTTTTAGCATGTCTCTTCCATTTCAATTTTTAAAATACTAGAAGTTTCTCTTGAATTTTTTATGCCATTTAGACTTCATAAGGAGAGTGACCTATGTTTTTTTTTCAGAAAGTTTTGTTTTTAAAAGTTTGATGTAGGTATCATGGAGAGATCCCTTTAAAATATCATATATATAATTATAGAACTTTTTAAAATCCAGCCCAATAAAAGAGGGAAAGAAAGAGGCAAAATGTACGCTGTTCAGTTCTGTGCAAATCTGCTCTGTTCAAATAAGCTTTACTTTATTTTACGTGTACCGCTTTCTGCCCAGTGGTTATCAGTTCAACATCTGGAATSTTAATAAGTATTCCCGTCTGGTTCTAAATGGAATCGAAAGAAAAAATAATCATGGAATAATATATTCTCTTTGTTTTCTTTCTCGATTATTTTATTCCTAGAAAGATAACAAGAAAAAAATATGATATATATCTAATATATATTCCTATGTGAATCGTAAAATAATGGAAGGAATTCAATCAACGTACGACTTGCAAACTCTGTTTCATGGCAAATTTACTGATTTTTTTTTATTCTTTTTTTGTGTACGAAAATCCTATATTAAAAATCTTAGTTTTCCTTGTTTTTACTTCCCCTTTCTTGACTCATTAAAGGTTATAATGATGTTTTTTATTTCATCATTGTGTTATTATTTCATTATTTTGCTTCTGCAAAGATTCTCCGCGTCAGGATCATAATTAAAAGAGAACCGAATTTGACTGTGTTATTGTTTTGTAATCAAAACATCATTATTCGAGTTGTAGCAAACTCCAAATGATGGATAGCTTGAAGAAGCTCGGCGCTAAGACACAAAGATTTAACGAAAATAGCCTCCCACCTTTTCCTCCATTTTAAAAAGTACTCTCGCGGATTTTTCCTTTGAAAAGMCACATTATGATTCTAAAGTATTGCACTAAATTACTTCCATGTAGTACGCGCAGTAAAAAACTACTTGGAATTAGTCGGAAATTGTGTTTAAATTGTTGGTAGTTTTTTTTGCCAACACTACTGGGTGCTAATTATGATAGTTGATCTATCTTATAGCCAAGAAAATTAGACAGAGATTCTAGCTGAAAAACAAGACGAGGCTCCAGCGGAAATAGGCCGTGTAAATGAGTTTACCGCCAGATATCTTGCAGTGGACTAGTTGATAGCCTTGAGCTRACTCTATTCCGACATATCTTAACAGCAACAAATATGACTTTGTTGATCACAATATTTCATAGTATTATCTATTTTAATTATCTACTGACAAAATGCTGGTACAGTGCTCGCAAAAACAACATTACAAATAACTGTCTTTTGTGGTACTTGATGGAATTCACTTAGACTTTTTTGTTCTTGTTTATTTACGTCTTGACAAATTATTTATCATTTCGTCTCATCTTTTTTACTTGTAGAAAATCGAAAAATCCTCCGTTAATATCTTTACATCTCTCGCTCATTTGGACGCACTCAGGACCATTATTTATAGACTGTCCGTAGAAGTGGAGTCCCCTTTAAGTTGTKTGCTGTATATTTTATTATTTTTGTTGATCGTAATAGTGATGTGTGTTCGGTATAGCGGGGTTTCGTTASTCTTATGTCTGTTGTAGTGATAGCGACTTGTCCGTAAGTGTGGAATGTTCATATGTAACGGTAGATTGGCTCGCCCACACAATCTTCTCCCATACATCCATCCATTTATTATAAATTCAACTAAATACAGCTACTCTAGGGTTTCTGATGATTTTCCTCGGGCTTAGATTTTGTCTTCCCTTTCGAAATCCCATTTTGTTTTGGCATCTATTTTGTAATGTCTCTCCAGTTATCCTGTTGTCCTTTCAGCTGGCTTCAATATCCATTTTCACATCTAGTACAAGCTCAAGATAAATTTCTCTTGTAAACCTAAACTATCAAACTTTGCTTGAAATATTATTTTACAGACGCTCGACTCGTCATAATTTCATCGTCCCATAAGTTAACTGAAAAGTGAAAAAAAAGCGATACTGTTTGAAATAGTGCTCTAACCTTCTTACAAAGATCACTTTCAAATTTACCGTTCATTAATTAAAATTCTAATTAATAATCTTGTTGAATCGACAATCTTGCCATTAAAAATGTCATCAATTTACAACGATGTCGTTTGTTCTTAATAATGAATATTCATTATGGTATTAAAAGTTCTCAAAAAGAGAGATAAAGGCAACGTAATACAAGTCTAGGAACTCGAACTCCAGTTGGAATTTCATACTTRCAAGTCGACAASTTTRATATTTTTTTAACGGTCAAGTTTCTTGTCTATGAAGATGCTATCAGCTTTTAAATTGCAGCGAGAACGCTCTGCKATCTATTTGGGCTATTAGTTCTATCARGAACATCCCATGAGAAGCTTAGGCTAGTCGGGTAAGCAAAGTACTTCTAAACTAGAAGAGTTTATAGCGTCAAACAGAGAGTCTKAAAGCTTTTACATCACTACCAGAACTGCCTGTTTTATTTCTCCTTGTCATGCTGTGGTTCTATTCAGTGTCGTGAAAGTCAAGATAACTAATGATTACAAGTTTAAATTAGAAAAAAAAAAACAACAACACAACCTTTCTTGTTCTTCATAAATGTGCTTATCGGATAACTAGAATATCATAACATTGAATGCGAAGAAAGAAAACTTAAAAGTAAACTTTATATTTAATAATCTTTATCAGTTCAATACAAGTTTATCACCTTATTGAATGATATGAAGTTTATGTTTAAGTCTTTTTGATTATGCCTAACGAGAAAATAGACGGGAAATAAAGAAATGTCAATTTTATTTTTAAAATTATGCACACAGCACGTACAGTACTGTGAAAATTAACTTGGCAGAAAAGGTGATATATAATCTTTGTCCTTAATCCTAGGCAAGACAAATATCAGTTCTATGTATTTTAGTTGTTAAAGGTGTAAATTTATATAACGTGAGCATTATTCCACAATGTAAAAAATACATAATTTTTATGTTTCATTATAACGAGTGATATGTTATTTAAAGCGATGACGTACAGTTGAGGCACTTTTACATTTCATCAACAGCAAAAAAAAAAAAAAAMACACAAACATTCTTGATTATCTCGGCTTGTTTTCAACAGAAATAGTAATCTTAGGACGGAAATTTGAGTTTAAATTTATAATTGAAATTAGAAAAAGAGAAGGGAATTTCCTTTACATTGTATATAGATTAGTTTTAATTATCGAGAGCTTTCCTTCGGCTGTTGAAATTTGTACGTTTTTCCATAGTTAACCCTCTACTAACTATGTTTTTTTTCTATCTAGTTTTCTCTCGATTCTGCTCTCAACGATCTTCAACTTATGCTAAATACAAAAACTCAAACTTTTCCTCGCCTACACGGGTACAAAAACTTGCAAAGTCAACTTTAGATATGAACTTTTTCTTATCAAATGGAACAATAATAATTGCAAAGCCGAAAATAGTCGTTCTTATCACATCCCACGAATGCATCGTAGACAGAAATTCACGAAATTCGTGAATTATAATCGCAGCCAATGCATGAAATTCACAATTGTTTTACATATTCAGCATAATCACAAACGAAAAGAAAAAGATCATTTATTCATTACGTTCAAAAATTATGGTAGCAGATTGTTCTTTGGCTGGCGAATAGTAAAAAAGAAAAAAAGTTTGGTATTGAAAGCCGAAGAAAACCGAAAAATATGGCGGATGTGAAACGTCTTTTAAAAAAAATCCTATACATTTATYGTAAGCGCATAGAAAACAAGCTAGGCCTATTAAATATTGTATTCATTTTAATCATCAAAATTACATTTTAAGCTAAAGGTTTTAGTTTTTGTCGGTGCCGATCTTCCTACTCAATTTGATTATTCTATAATGCAATAGTCGCGTCCATGAAAGAGCAAAAGRCCCGAACTAGCTTAAAGCATATCACATTAAAAAGAATTAAAAATTGAACACTATTGAAATAAGGTTTTCCCGACTACGCTACARATTTACCCCACCCTGGAACCCCATATTAGGCATTGCTTGCTACAATTGTACATATTGTCAAAGTTATAATGAGTAAGTATTTCCTCGTGTTTTCTGTTTCATTTCCTTCTGTAATTCGGTCGTTATTGTCACATTATGCAGGGGCGGACTAGTGATTAGGGTTGATCAAAAAGTCTTTAAGATTAGTAGCTGTTCGAAGCGTCTTTACCATCTGTCAGCCATGCGTTTCAATCCAAGATGTCAAACTGATAACTGCTCCAATTGACGGGTTAAATTAGGAAAGATCTTGAAGCCACTTAGAAAACCTGTGRAACTAGYTGGAGAACAGTTGCTTGAAGCAYTGAAAGAGTGGCATCAAAGAGCGAGTATTTTTTGGGTGCCTAAAAGATAAACTCAGGTTTGTTTGTTTTTTTGAAATTCTTGACGATCTTTTCATGCACTTTTCTATAGAAATTTCGCAACTTTTAATCATTTTGTGTGATAGTATAAAAGCGTTAAAAAATACAACAGAAATTTTTTTTCGACATTAAAATGTCACCGTTTCTAAAAAAGAAAGAAAACACCAAAACACTGCAGGAAGACGTAGTTTTCGTTTCGTTTGACTTTCAAATACAAAAGGAATTAATATTGAAATTTGAAGTCTGTGGTTTTAAGTTTGTAAAAARTGAGTTGTTTGTCTTGAAAGGAATAATTCTAATGCAAATATCAAACCCATTGACTCAAGGACGTTTTTGAGAGATGGCTCTCATAGAAATTACCAATCTTCTCTTGTGTGMGAATAAGAAGACTAAGAAGATAAGGAAAGCCCTATTAATATTAAATTCAATATTTATGTTTATGTTTCGAAGAGTTTTTAAACATTGTTTGCTGCTAGTATCTTATAATTGGTTTTCTCTTTAACATTTGATCACATCGGAAGAACTAATTACGACAGTAAATAAATAATTACAAATAGAATGGAAACTGCTTTTTCAAACACTTCATTATTTAACATTTCGTTTTTTTCTTTCTTTCTTAGTTTGCTAATCCAAAATGTAAAAAAAATAAGCACTCAATGTTTAAGATCTATGTTTTAAGCCTTTTAAATCGTATTTTGCTGCTTTTAAAAGCGAAATCCTCTAAGGTTCCATTACTTATGTCATTCMGAATCAGATTACTTTTATCCCTGGTATTTTAGGATTTTTAACATGGAACCAGTTAGGCCTGTTTGACGGCGAACTTTACACGTGTCTGTRAAGCAAYCTGCCCTACACTTCAGTTGTTTGTTTCTGMTKGTTAGCATTTTTTGTTTGCTTTAATAACTCAWTATATGTGACATTCAACATTTGAGAAAGGTCTTAAAGGATACTGACTTCATCCTAAACTAATGAGGGGGTTGAAATGTCTAACCTCGTACATATCTAGAGTTCCATGCTCAGAATTGAAACTATTAATTTTTWCCGGCTGAAATGTTTTTCTCATTTAGAGCATATCTTCATCTCTTCAGAATCTGACAAACAAAGTATATAGGTTATGCATAAAATGAGAGCACTATTCCCTATGGTCCAGGAAATGAAAATAAAAAGCGTTAGTSRCGGCCATTCTGAAGTWAGATTTTAATACCAAACTCAARTATTTGMTAATGAGTTCTGAATTTTCAAAAGCCTAATTCTTGAGTTGCAAACCACATGACAAGGGATCCCGTGAGAAATAAAGAACAAAGCTATCGCCGCCATGTTGGATGAATGAACAAGAGAAACTAATGAGGAATGCTGTGTGATYTTCATYCAACATGGCGGTGATGACGWAACTTGCRMCCAAGATTACTTGAAGTGTTTAGAATTTTTATCAACTTCCATGTCAATTTCTCTTTCAGCTAATGATAGTTTCAAACTTTAAACTTCACATGTGTCGACCTATTTGCACTCACTTCGGTTCATATGAGATTCGCCATTTTGAAGTGCACTCASTTTAAGTGAACTTAAAAGTTCCCTCTACACAATTGCCGTTTTCAGTATATTTTGCGCTTTTCATTTTCCTATTGTTCTACATTAGTTTTAATGTACAAATCTGTTGCGACTGAACGAGAAGAAWAATTAGCACTTTTATGAAAGATTTAAACAATATCTAGCACACGAATATTGCTTTAGTAGACATGACAACAACAAAAACACTTTTAAAAAGATATAATAGSTCAAGAGAGTATTCCCTTTTAAATAAATTATTTTTTGAAGTGTTTTAAAAGCATTTTAGAATGAAATGCAGTTGAGTATTGATTTTCGATGTTTGTCGGCTTTTCAGTTTTAATAGAATATTTAGTTTAACAACGACAAGTATGAATACAAATCTTAACTTAATCCAATCTTATCAGGTCTAATAAAATACCGGACTGATTGTTATGAATCTTGTTTCGTGTTACTAATTTGTACTGAACTTGTARCTGCAGCAAAGCGATTCAAAGTTCAGTTTAATAAGCAACTCGAACAGGAACGAACTGAATACTTTCTAGAATTCAAATTACGTATTACAGTGTGTAATTCGTTCAAATTTTGTATCTAAACCCTTATTAATTATCATTCACGTGACGTWTCGAATAGAAACAGTAACATTGAGCAATATACAGCAAAATTGAAGTCCTTGGTCATATTAACTTCTGAAAGATCCGCTTGATTTCAATCAGTTTTCCACCTTTATTGTCTGATCTTAGCTTGCTCRCTAAATGATGCAAAATAAGATCAACCCTAGGCTATACTTTATGCTTTYTTGCTCGTTATCATCTCATTTGCATTGATTCAATGCCTAAATCAGGAGACTCAAAGTCTGACCCTGGCTTTGGTTTTCTATTGTTTTTTCTTTTAGATTTTTCTTTTTAATTAGATTTTTTTAAATGAAAGGATATGATATTTGCGTTTAAAGCACTGCAGACGACACCATAAAAAGCTCAACTAGTTTGGAAAACATTGAATGCAATAGGCCCCCCCTTCCTGAAACCCCTGAAGTCTCATATTTCAAAGACTTTGTCTGCCCAAGGAAGGGGGGGAAGTTCCGGTACCCTGGAACCTACAAGTRGCGTCTGAGTACATGCAACTACTGTTAAAACCCTTAGTCAAAATCTGTCACATGTCAGAGGCCGTTAGGGGGAGAGCGCTATAAAGTTAAAAGTCTGCTTAGAGAGGAGTGTTATTTAAGGGCGGCTACTAGGAATAATTGTTTGAAAAAATATTTCCTGTCCACGCGCAAATAGCTACAACTGATGCATGACTGGGAGATATTCAGCTCATTGTTTTATGGACCGATCAGTTCTATCACTAAAACACTAAAGATCATTTGCCTCGTGTGATAACCTTWGTTTTCTGTCCGTTTTATGTTGTTTCGCATCCTACCTTTACATGTTCTTGCTACAGCACTGCTCGTTCCTTGAAAACATTCTTTAAGAGTGAAAAACCAGTGGCAGATAAGAAGATACGTGGATACATTAGGCGTGACTGCAATGTTTGCTTCATGTATAGATTTAACCATTGTCAAATTACCCGACTAATTTACCTTAACCGTCTTCAAATCTCAGCAAAGTTGGTTTTTGAATTAACCTTTCACTCGTGTCCTAAAAGAAGCGCTTGATGACTTAAAAACACCTTTAAACTTTCATATTCATCCAAAATGAGATAGAAATTCCGTCAGCAATTCCCAGCATCTCCTTCTACCATTCGGTTTTAGTCGGTGTTAGCGGCCTTATCGATGAAAAATTGACTGAAACACTTTTTAAAAATTTCCCTAGTAAAATCATAAGCGGCTTTCTTATTTTACAGGGCTTGTTATGATGACATTATAAGTAAGCTTATAATCCTTTGATCTATATGTATGTTAGTATTCTAAAAATTACTCCATTCGAAGGTTAATCCACATTAGACCTTCTGAACTGGCATCTGATTTTTCGTTTTAATAATAGACAATCTCACATCATGAAATTTCTCTTTAAATGAATAAATTATTTACTTCTTTGTTGCYCTTAATCATTTTTTTCATGGATAATAAAGTAAGAACAATGTGTAGTTTATAACGCATTGAAACTCTACTTTAAAAGTGGATTAACATTCATTAGTAATGAGGCTTTTTGAGATGTCACGTTGTTCGAAACCWCTTCGAGTATCCGTCCCCAAACATTCACCTAATTACTGTCACTTCTGTTCTTTTTATTCAGATTAAGTSACTCTCTCTCGCTGCAAGACCACATTCCAGTAAACAGCTGTACTTTTGTCCTTCAAGACCGTGTTCAACTASACAAGTGAACTGATCTTTGATGAAGTTAAAATGGCGAATGTAACGCTCAATGGAACACAACCTCCAATCTTACAAGRCCCTGCTCAACCATACGTCGAAGAGCCGCCTCAGTCAAAATTCTTTCGTTATGCAATGTATTTGATCTTGTTTATATTGGCCGTGGGAGGCAACATCGCCGTTGTCCTGGTACCAATACGYCAGAAACGAATGAGAAACTTTACATACTTCTTGATCACCAATCTGGCTGTGTCTGACATCGGTTCCATGCTCTGTCTACCGCCTCTCCTGGTCTCAGAATATCTAGACTCCAACTGGACGATGGGATTGCCGATGTGCAAGCTTGTCAACCCTGCCTTAACAATGTTCAGCTTGATAACGACCAACTCTTTGGTTGCGATAGCCATCGACAGGTTCATGGCGTTAGTTTTTCCATTCAAGCGAAGACCCAACGTGAAGGAAAGTATCCTTGTCATTTCACTGACGTGGTTGGTCGCTTTTGGCCTTGTGTTACCTTCATTTGGAGCAAGAGAACTTTTCAAGMTTGTTCATCACGGCCAAACATATATGATCTGTCGCGAAATGTTCCCRGAYAAAACCCTCGAATTAGCGTACAACGTGTCCCTCTACCTCATCAACAACACAATGCCGATCCTCATCATCTCAGCCGTCTATGCTGTCATCATTATCAAGCTCAGAGGAGTTTCCTTCACAAAAATGTTTAAGAGAAAATCATCGAAGGATTCAGACGTCGCCAACTTTGCCAAACCAAACGGCCTCACAAGCGATGAATATTATAAGAAACAGAAGCATGATCGAGAGAAGAAATTCACCAAAATGTTGCTGAGCGTCGTAATTGTGTTTGTGCTGTTCTACGTGCCTGTTCAGACGTACTTTCTTCTGTATTCATTGAAGGTTGAATATAGGTGGAAATACACCGTCGTCCTTTACTACTACCTCTATTTGATGATGTGGGTCCCGAACGCTCTCAATCCAATCCTATACGGYTCTATGAACGAGCAATATGCCAAGGCATTCAAACGAATATTCCGTTGTAAGGGCGCAGGTAGRGATTATGGTTCGACYACAAAGGGTTCCTATTCTCGTGCACCGATGACTATGCAGTCGCAAAATGATGGGACACTCTACAACATTAACAAAGACACTAACCAGACAGAAATGTGAAGGGATGGTGCYTGTCGACAAATTCACGCCTRGTATGTGAGAATAATTTCAAAACACACGCGAACTTAAACGTATATGTTCAAGGCATTAACACTAAACAGTATCAGACGTTGTTAAAAATTATCCGTTCGCAAGAAAACGAACAAAARAAACAATCAACATCACAATCAACATCACAAGGAGGTGAAGCAGTCCGTGAAACATTCCCGCGCTTTATGATGACTTTAAGAAAACAAGGAGTGTAGAGGATATATTTTGTAAAGAGGCTTTCAGACGTGGTTATCAGACTGTGCTAAGGACTGTTAATCCTTTTAAAGCTCTTGCAACAACACATGTGATAACATTTTATAATTATGTATGCCACCCGTATATGCTCGCGGTAATCTGACCTGCGCTTCTGCTAACTAGTTCCGAACGCGCAAAGCGATCAAAACGCCAAAAAAAAAGTCAACAAATTATATATTGCTAGCAATAGCCAGGTATTGGATTTTTTTCTGRTAAAATGAGATAGTTTAGATATCAACATGTAAAATGTAAAAGAGAGCTAGTATATCATTCATGTCAATCTGTCTTGGGGAAATACTGTCCTACAGTTATAAATTCTAATAGTTATATTGAATCGTCCAATAAAATGGTGCTGACTAAAATTTAGCCTCCTCCTAGGCAAACTTTTATTTTGCCCTTGGATTTTTCTGGTATCCTCTTGACCGTACCTTGTCCTTGATTCACATAACACAGTCCCACAATCCCTTGCAGTCCTATCAGTAAACAGGTAGCCCAATCGTATAAAACTAAGGGAAAAGGCTGGAGAGACTCAGCGGAGGAGGCTAACTAAAATAATGCTTACAATAGACTACTATTGATATTCTAGTTGAATAGTCTGCATGCTGGACAAGAGAATTGATCAAGACGAGTCACCGGGGAGTACTGCCAATGTAACCGCCATCCTGGATTCTTTTGTCTATTGCCAACCATAATTTCAAAAGTAAACTTTTGACGCATTGTTTGTAGGTCTACATACGCGGTGTATATATTGTAACAAATTTAATGTCGTTAGGGCCTGGTTTCTAGAATATCCAAGATGCAACTCAAAAGGGCATGTACGTACTTGTACTTGTAAACAGTTGTAGTGAATAAAAGCAATTCCAAACGCATCATGAGAAATCCTGTAAATACAGTATGGATAATGTTAATGTGTGTGTCCTAGCGCAGCTTATGTATCGACGACTCAAATAGTCCCTCTCCGTTTGGGCGTGCGTGGTTCCTGTTCAAAATAACTTGCAATTCGTTAAAAGGTGATCATTTGTTTCTTTGGTGATTCTGAAGTAGTTCTCAAATGATGATTTTTTTTTAATGATGACATTTAAACAGCTAATGATTATTGATGATGTCTCCTAGTCCGCTATAAGCATAGAAAATTCTGCCGTTCGAGAAAAAAAAAATGAAAACAAAGATTTTCATTAAATTCAAGCGATATTTTAACTCCATTCCTCGCGATTGACGTGTGATTTTCTATACAGAAACATGTACAACCAGAACGCACACCGGGATAGATTCGTCTGTCACACGTGTTGTGAATTAATTGAAAAAATTAAGTGAAAATAGAAAAATTGAAAAATCGTMTAAAAAATCGTCTAATAAATTRGCATCCATTTGACAAGGAACATGTATCCAAGTAATTGATTTGATGGTGGGCATGATTTWARTCGGACTGGATTTACGTGTATAATGCGTATTTTTTACCGCCTGTTTTATCGTGAATTTAARSCTCCGATAAAGCAAAGTGGACAAAAACAATCAGCATTTATAGGTCACGTGGGCTAGGATAATAAAAAGGTAATATTTCGTTTGATTCCTTTGATAWTTTTTTGATTCTGAACTAGTGCTTATAGCTTTTTATAAAGCATGAAGGTGTGCAAATGATGCGTGCTCGTGATTGGCTGAGAACTTTATTTCTGAGGTACTTTCGTTTCTGAATTGCGATCTCACGGGCATCCTGTGGAATATTATCGAGATGGAACAGAACTCTGGAACTCTGGGATACATTTATCATACAAGGAACGCCTGGTTGATAATAACAAATTTTGAAACGACTCCCGCGATTTTGTGTTCACGTTAGTGAATTTGTATCTTTTCTGTAACAAAAATATGTCTTCATGTCGTGTAATATCTCGAGCGAATTCTCTAGCACTCCAGGGATATCGCCATGCTTGTCATGTTATGCTGCATACAGCAATCCCTGATGAAGTGAAGCTGTTCGGTTACTATCCTATCAAACACTCTACATTGGTAAGTTTTATACATACTTACTTAAAATTTAAAAAATTTWAAAAAAATACCTCAGATCTATATATATGTTTTATTGAAATCGCCAAAGTAAAGGAATGYAACCTTGATTTGCTCATTACGTTGGCAGCCGGCATGATTACATAACATGTCGACCAGAGGACGAGATTTCCATACCTGGGTCAGGTTATAAACCAAGAATAGTTATAAAATAACTTTTGAACAAAAGTTAATATGTGCACTGAAATGTAGGATTTTAGTATATAATATTTGTAAATTAAKGTCTAAAGTATTTAACAATATATGGGATATCATAAATTCTTAGCATCCCAAGTTCTGTCCACTGCTGATTGTCAAAGTTCAGAAGTCTGAAAAAAAAACAATGGTAGATATTTAATTCTCATATTCTCTCTGTTTAGTTGTTGACTGTATGTTCAGGCACAATATACTGGTGAATACTAAAACAATTAGATATTTATACTATTAAACGATTTAAACCTCAAAGGCAAACAGATCAAAAAGGATTGCCAAATAAAAGCTCAAAGAGCTCATGGGCTATTGTCTGGTATGTCCCCATGAGGCTTCAAATGCAATAACCGATTTGCAAAATCAAACACAAAAAACAAAAGAATCAAGATGAGATGCTGCGCATAAAGCTCAGTCAATTTTTGAAAAACTATTGACTTTTCATGAGTGACTGAGCTTTATGTACCTCGTATAATTGATTCCTTTGTGTGTGACTATTGAGGCAAAATTTGTAAGTCGGCTATTGATCATAACATAGCTGATATTGCTCATGAAATCTAAAAATAATAATTAGTCAAATAAATAATATATGTCTGAGTGAAATTATTCCTTACTGTAATGTTAACTGGAAAAGCCACTTTGTGGTATTATGTTTTTTTTAACCAAACGTCCACTGTTTTTGTTAATTRGCTCCACATTCATTAAGGCTTTGGACCAAAACCAAAAAAAGTGTATAATGTCGTAGCCAATAAGAAGTACATAGTATCATAAATATTCACTGTTGAAATGAATGGTTTGTTTTTTTGTTGCATAGATGCAGTTTCGMTTTGATGGTAGGCTTGGTTTCCCTGGTGGATTTGTCGATGAAAATGAAAGTCTTGAAGAGGCAGTGAATCGGGAACTGAAAGAAGAAATGGGTCCGACATCTGAACCTGTCTCAATTACAACTGATAACTATGTCATCACACATTTATATGAACAATTTATTGCTGAAATGAAAGTCACCAAACGCTTGTGCTTACACTTCTTTACCAAAAAGGTTTCAGTTAAACAATTTCTTGAGCTTGAAACAAGATGCGGAAGTCAGCCGAATCTTGGATTTGAGGTAAGGTTTTAGTTTAAGGTCAATGGTTAACAGTCTTTTCTATAAAATAATTTGTTTGGATGCTGGTTTTCTTGTTAAGGCATTGGTAGAGTACAAACATTGAATGTGTGCAGCACTTTCCACTATTTACTACAATATAGTGTTAACTAAACAATAGAAACAATAGAATTAGCATAATTTAGCAGTATTTAGTGTTGGCACTCTATCAAAACGTTTTTCTTTGTAACTCACAACATAAAACAAGGAAATGTCAAGCAAACAACTGGTCTCACTGTTCAAATTTTTTCATTTTAGGTTCTTGGGATTGTAAGGTGCCCTGTTTACACTCTAACAGACAAAGAAGGTGGATTTCCTTCGTTTTTAAGAAACAATTTCGTTGGTAATGCAAGAGAACAACTTCTTATTGGAATAGCAAAAGAAAATCTGTTAACTTCACAGGAAATTCATGAAGCAATCGCTAAGAGTGGAGTTGATATTGACTTTTCAATTGCAAAACTTTGAGATTTCAAGAATATAGTATTGACAGGTAAATCGGGTATTTGGGTGATTGTAATTGTACTTCAGATTTTAGGATTGGGAGCTGTGAAATCCATGATATGAGGGAGTCGCAGGGGTTTTGGGATAAGAATCATGACAGACGTTGAGTAGATTCCATGTAGATTGGTGTGAAAGTGTCGCATGCAGGCTACATTCAAGACATGTCAAGAGCATTTTTAAAGGGATATTTAAAAACTAAAACACCCAAACAATAACATTAAACTTTTTTCATGTTAGATGTTAGGTATTATGTTTGTATAAATCAAAGCAATTGAGGTGATTACGAGAATCAAAAGATTGGAGTAATTTGCATAAACTCGACGCATGTGAAGGTCCACTTTTGAAAAKGAATGCGGCTGTGGACGGACTTTTTTGTATCCTCACTTTGAATTGTTTTGAGGCTTTTTATCGTTTGGATATCATGTAAACGAAGCGTATTTGCTGGCTTTGTATTTATTTTTTACTTATGACCCTTTTGCACATATTCATKATATAAACAAGAAATTGCAACTCGAGAGTATAAGCCGGACTATAGAGAAAAGGTCCTCGAATTTTTGATGCCAAACCTCTTTCACAAGCATTCAAACTGACGACAAAAACTCAAAACTTTGCCGTAAAATTATTATCATAAAAGCCTCTGAAGCTTCCTTACCAGTAAACTGTRGCGAACCGTTACGCCTCTAMGTGTGTAGAAGCWGTGTGGTCCACAAGAAAGCCATTTTCTCCATGTTTGTTTCCGAAGTACTGGAAATAATTATCTAATTATCTRACAGAACAATGCAGAATAAAGAGATGTTACTCAACTGATCTTATCTTTTCATCGTGACAAATTTCTTCAAACCTYTGCATCATCGCATTTGGTTCCAAACCACTTGTTTACTATATTTCCGCTGACTTGTTTACGTTAACGTTTGGAAGCACGTACGTTAACGTAAGGAAACAACGGGTTTTTTCACTGCTTGGACTTTGTRTATTTGCTTGTTTTTTGAGGGTTAGATAATAATATTGATAAGATGATTTTAATGAAAAACAGGAACTAGTGGTTAGATAAGTGCGGTCGGTTCATGAATGGAAACGATATTACGGAAAACGTACACAAAAAACGCCAACTAATTTAASTGATTAGTGTAGCTGTAAAAGTACTACAACCTGGCTTTTATTATCAAGGAAAAAAACTTTAAAAATCTTAAAAAATACGGAAAGTTGTTTCTTTAATCATGCTGACAAAAAAAAAAGAAAAATGCAAATTCCGTAAAAAGGTTTAGTGTTTCGACCGACTTAATCGATAATTCTGAAGTCGGGCAAAAGACTCTACAGGTTCTGTAGGGTTTGTCAATATTTTTAGGATGTAAAACTTTATTGTTTTACCTTAGAGTGACAAATAAATTATTGACCAGACTGTGTAAAGTCTCCTGAGCAAATGCATGCGATAATAGTGTTCGTCTTCAAGAAACTTTTAAATCAAAAGAACTTAACAAAGAACGCGAGGAAAGACTCTGTTTTGCAAATATCCATTCATGTACAGAGAGCGCAACACGTGTATTCGTAAGCTTACTGTAAATCATGACCTTGGCTTGCAGCACTGATTGGGCGATTAACTTCATTATTACATAAGAGCTCAAAACAACGTTTCTATGTCAATGTTGATTTATACCAAATAGTTATTACTATTGTTACAAACGCAGTAAAATTCCATAGCTGTCGAAAAACGGATCACTTTCTGCTCACTCAGCTAAAGTTTATTAAACATTCCAAAACGGTCTATCATGTAACTCGCGTTTTAATTACAAAAGTTTATTAAACATTCCTCTGGCTAGACAAAGGAGTCTCGTTTTATACAATTTGTATTTTTACGAAGTACTTGGAGGTATCATTCAATTCGCTTTACTGGTAAATGTTTAAATTAAAAATAAGGTCAAATCCAGTCGTAACTTACAACTCTGATATAGTACAGTCTACAATGAAATTACGTTGATTCGTTTRTGCTGAAAAAATGCCGGTTAATTACCCTGTACAAAGGGCTGTGTTCACCAAATTAAGCCTGAATTTATTATTTCCTTGTTCAGCAAACAAATCGGTATTGCTTAATTACCGACGTGGTACACGTGATCGTRGGCGGCCTCCTTTGAATAAAAACAGTTAAAAGACATCAAATAGTTCTCTTTGCCTGGCTGTTTCCCATTGATTGCTTACCGGCCAGTTATTTGTCGTATTCAGTACTCGCGTTGGGTCATGATGTAGTTGTTGACTTCGTTCGTGGGTGGTATGTTACCCCCGTCAGAGGGTGTGGAAGGAAGTGCGGACCTGAAATTACAGTGAGAGTCTTTTGAATTTCGTTAATCGTGATTAACATCTTCGATGATTGCTTTTAATTCGTTTGCCATATTTTATCGATCATCTGAGGCTTTTCGCTAGCACATACCTGTTTTAGATCCTTGCAAATTCGTACCAATCCAGGTGGCAAAGGACTCTYGAAGTCAACAAGTGTGAAAAACAAACAGTCAATAAACTCTTTGAAAACTTCAAGTGGAAAATCACTTAAATGTCTTGTTAAAGCACTTGGTTTTGTCATCGCCATCATTATGYCTTGCGCAGCGTTTTTTGACCACGGATTTCCGTGCAAGCAGTGCCGTATAGAACAGGAAAAGATCATTCCCTTATAAATATGTTTATTTAGCCTTCTTCAATTCGCGAAGTGAATCGTTTTAGACTCAAACGCAACCCCTACCGGTTAAATTTAATCGTACAAATATCTCGGCAATTTCCTTAACAAACAAATAACGAACCAAAGAGATCAAGTCAAGCACCCAGCTATGGAAGGATGTTATTAATAAGCTGTAATTGATGAATTGAGAGACGATCGTCACCAGTTAATAAGCAATTACAGCTATTTGTTACATACTTTACGGCTTAGCGCACAATTCCTTTAATATTACAAAGCTGCACAACAAGCGGCAACGACACGAAAACTCAACCGTTRCGAAAAGCAATTCAGAGTTTGACCGTCACGTTGTTTTGAGACGTGACATTCGACACTGATACTCACGTCGCGGTATAGTGTAATCGATCCCTGTTGATGTCGATTGAGTGTTGATAAGTGGGATTGAAAGTCAAGAGGGTTTTTGGTGTTCACATTATAAAAGAGGGGCTAGTCACTCTTCGTTCGTATAAACACTTACATGTGGTGTCACCCTGTTTATGTTTCTGTCAACTGGAGAACTTGAAGATGATGTACAGGAGCATAGTGGCTTTGCTTCTATTCTTAACCCATTCAGAAGCGTCCTGGCTGTAAGTAGATTGGAGTATGAGCAACTTCCATGACATATTTCTTTTTGTAATCTTGTTTATTTATTTTTACATCTTGTGCGCTATGATTGTTCAAGGTGGATGGGAGTTGCTTCATCAGGAATTAGGACAGACTCAGTTGTTCCAAGTCAATGCAGAAGTGTCACGGGCCTTTCGCCGCAGCAACTTAGGTTGTGCATGATGAAACCAGGTGTTATTCCTAGTGTTAGCCAAGGCGCAGAGATAGGAATCCAGGAATGTAAGCAACAATTTCTATTCGAAAGATGGAACTGTACAACTTCAGATAAAGACCCCACGGTGTTCGGACAAGTCTTAAGTACTGGTAAGTAGTTYACCATCAGTGGTTGGAGTGAGTAAGACTTCAATTAATTGCTGTTTCGAATTCTGTTTTCCTAGGCAGTAAAGAAGCTGCTTTTGTTCATGCCATCACATCTGCTGGAGTTGTCCATGCAGTTAGTCAATCTTGCAGCAAAGGAAATCTCTCTGATTGCAGATGTTACACTAGAAATGGAGAAAAACATCCCAAAAGTAGTTGGGGCATCTCTGGTTGCACAAATAGCGTCAATTATGCAGTATGGCTGTCTGAGACATTTGTTGATGCACCAGAAAAAGTCGATCGAAAGCCAAGATTGACTTCTAAAGAGATGGCTCGTGCTCTGATGAATCTACACAACAACGAAGCCGGTCGCAAGGTTAGTAAACAACTTACCATTCATCGTCTTGAAGACGTTTGTCAAAAAAACATGGTTCGTTCGGGCATATTCAGCTGTTTCTTTTAATGAACTTGTGTAATAGATAGCGTATGACCTAACTCAACATGGTTTATTTTGACTTTGCGCACACTATTCTCCAAAATACCATTCATTCTCTGAAAATCCCATAGTCTAAACAAGCATCCTTGCCCACACGATATGCCCGTTGTATCTTTGTAAACGTTTGAAGCGAAGATAACGGTAGCCATGGCTAATCTCAAATGAGTACTTTTATCAATATATGCGGTGATTAATGTAAATTAAGCAACTATAAACAATTTAGGACCTTGTATGCTAGTTGCTGACTGATAGCCAAAGATTTAGTTTATTGTCAAAGCCAGTTATTTTGACTGCGAAAGATCGAAAAGTAAAATAACAGCTTATTGAGATTTGAGTAAATGTTTTCTCTAACTTGTTAACTGAGGAAATGGGAATTTATATTAATTTTTTTATCCATTATAACAATACAGTCTTATGTACATTCGCTATCCAAAATACATTTCCGTGAGATTTTGGAATGTTTCAAATATGTTGTTGATTTGGCGCGTCTTTTGGGACCGGAACAGCCCGAAGTATAGTCTTACTTGTAAGTAGTAAATTGGTTGAGCGTTAACATTGTTATCAAGTATTGTCAACATGATTATTTGAATACTCGTCAATTACCAAGAAAGGACTGAGATTAAATATAATACTCAAATGACATTTTTTTTTCACCGACGAAACATCTTGGAACTGGCCCCCGAAATAAGGTACGAAAACTACCCAGCACTGCCCCATTTCAAGTCGAAGTCTGATAAAATTTGTTTGAACGAAAGGAGAGGATTATTAGATTTGATAGATTGATTGGAGCCTTCGTTGACCCACTGAGAACACCATTTTCTTTTAACATAATTTTTGATTCAGTTTTTAAGTATTTGACCATTTTGACTCTCACAAACAGCGGGGCCGCTTACATTTAACTGACTAAAATGAGTGCTCTTCACACTTAGAAAAGCTTAAGTTTTCTTTTGCTGTTATCAGAGTAAATGGGGGTAGAACTGAAACGACTTTTATTCACAAAATTAACAAACACGCGGAAATATTTCGAGAAATGTAAGTTCTTGAAAGTTAAGTATGTTGACCACAGCTCAATTAATTGCAAAATTTCCCGTTGTCTTAGTAAATGAGAAATTACTTAGAAATGATGCAAAAGAAAGACACAAAATGGAGAAAAATGGAGAAAAATGGAGAACTTTAAGCTGACATATAGTCTTCGTGATAAAAGACGTCTAAACAGATATCCAGATACGCCATCAATGTTCTATCAGATAAAAGTCAGACGATATTCAAGACAATTAAATTTGAATCACGTTATCTTCGCCACCTTTCTGATAAACTACTACTAAGTCCACCTGGATAAGCATATTTACGGCACGTTTTATTACAATCCAAGCAAAGAAAGTCTTGAATGATATCATGATGTACATTTCTACTCGTGTTTTTCATTTCATATCGTTCGTGTTCAATTAATTAAGATGCTGTGTGCCTTAGAAACTTAACAGGTTCATATTGCTAGTTTTATCGAGGTTTTTAGAATATTACTTGATTAGTACTTGTGGATATAGACCGATATCCTCCTATTGAGCTTATATCCATAGCAAACCCCCGATAACAGATCCCCAGATCTAAATTCCCAGCGTGATTAGACATGGAAACTTGGCAGCGAAGATCCGACCCGCTGTTCAATTGAGCAACTGTGTAAACATCGTCCTTTCAACGCGGCTACGACATATTACCGAAAGGTTGACACTCGAAGGGGGGTACCGTCACTACCATCCCATACTCCTGAAATCAACTGGGCACAAAATATACTATAACGATTTTTTGAGCGATTGTGCAGATGCTGAGTACATACCTTCTCTGTATGATTGCTTTAAAAGCCCTCCATGAGTCGTAATCATGATTAGTGACAGGCCGTAATAAAGGGATCAAGACGTCGGCTGATACGAGTGGTAGTCATTGATTCGCTGCGAGGGACCTGTTGTGATGGCTTCAATTAGGACATTAAGAAATTCGAGATGTGATCTTTTTTATGACAGCAATATTTTTAAAGTCATCAGTAGTCACGAAGATTTGAAAACCTCGAAAAATTAACTTGTTTTTTGGATTTATGTGTGGTTTTCAATGATAGTTTTGTTCAACTATTTCTTCGTTTTATTTCTTCTTGCTTTAAATTTTCTAACTTGTCGTCCTAATTGTACTAGTTATTGTTTTCTTCATTATCGCCTTTTCTATATATTTCGGAGTCGACACAGTTTTGAAGTACATTGTTGTTTTGTCATGGTTTATACAAGATTCGTGACATTTTAAGTTTRAGAGCTCGCGTTTTTTGTTTGTAGCCGCGGCATTCTTGTAATTCATTCATGTTTTTTTTTAGTTTACAATTCAGTACAATCACGAATGATTACATCTGTGAGCCTTCTATATTCTCTGTTATTATTCAATACTTTATGAATCTGTGTCAAGAGGTGCTAGCATCATCGTTTCTACTATAACAATTATAGCAAACTAATTGAAGTCATCTATGTATGCAAACTGAACCCTACTGACTCAGTATCTGCTGTGATGACTCACGTTAAGCTAATGTAAGCTTCTCCGTCTTTCTAATATAGCAGATGTACTAAAAGGAAAGATTGTACACTTAAAAAAAAATTAAAAAAATCTTTCGTAGGAGTAGTATCCACCAACGTCCGAAAAGCCAGTAAAGTTTCCTAGTCGACGGCGTATAATTCATACTGTATTCTGCTGATATGATGCTATATTCATACTCTATCTGCTGATATGATGCTATATTCATACTGTATTCTGCTGATATGATGCTATATTCATACTGTATCTGCTGATATGATCCTATATTGATCCTCTTATTTTCTCTATTTTTCTCGCTGTTGATACATGTACATCATCAGAAATAATGAATATGGCGGAATTCCATACAACGCTTGTCCCGGCGCTCGTCAAGGGCATGTTATCCTGATAATTTCTTACTTTCTTTTTTTTTTTTTTTTCATGTGGATCTGTACATTGATTATTTGATTTCCAAAATTTTGAAGTTATTTTCTTTTCACAGCATCAGTTAATTGAAATAACAACGTCCACCCAGCCCCAGGGATTACGGAGGAGTTAAAATTTCAGCAATGTTTATTACATTCACGGTTATACTAATACTTTTATTTCATTTACACATAATTATACAATTGTCACATCTTTGGATTGATGCTGTTAAAATAGCGTTACATCACGCCCGGCTAAAATGTGTTAATTTCCCGGCCCCACCCCAGGAGTTGGGAGACGAAGCTTCAATTGACTGTTTATCGACTAAATTCTTTCCCCAGACCTGGCCTGCCTTGCAGATGTGCCAGCCGTTCCTATATTTTTTTTCTAAAAAAGACATTTATGGAGCTGACCCGCTAACGGTTGTAATGGCGTAACCGAAGTGTTGGCTTACACTACAAATCGGACACTCGCTATATTTTTAATAGTCATACWGTTTTGATTAAACACTAAAGATAACGGCTATTTTATCTTATAAGTGGTCACAACGCCAGCCTCGAATCGCCCTTTTAACTCAAAAATCTACGTTTAATGATATGAATGGCCACAGTAAGCTTATGTACAAGTTTTAGATTGGGGTTTATATTTTACATTTTTTTTAGCCTGATTTTCAGACTTCCCTTGGCCTGACGCTTGCGCCTTCCTCCCCAAACAGGCCCGTCTGAAAATCAAGCTTTTGGTCTCTTTCTCCAACTGTCACCTTCCTTTTATAGATCTTAAAAGTATTATTCTGACGTATTACGGTTATAAACATTACACGATTAGACAGATTAACTTTTGAAAAAAAGGCTGAACATTTTCAAAGCAAAACCGGGCCGGGGTTTTTGATTTTGTATMGAATGATAAATTGCATAACCACGATACAACTACAGAATACTTTGCCTCTCTTTCTTTGTTAATCAGTGCCTTCCTTTACAATTTATTACTGCAACAAAACTACAAAATTGCATGCGAGCATTAGAAAACAGCGCGCCTACATCTCAACCTTTGGATTACGCATGCGTAGAGCATTATTTTATTCCCCAAGAATGTTCGGGAAAGTCATCAGGACATGCTAAACAAAACAACTCGAAGGCACGTACCGATATGAATATAATCACCTAAAAAMGGATATTTTTGCAACGAAAATAGTACAAAGTAAATAAATTGKGCTAAAGATAAACGTCAACGTCGCGTAATGTTTTCGTTTCGTCTGTTGGGCTTTTTTTAGATGTACAAAAGCCTTACGTAACAACTAAGTYACTCGTTAACATTTTTTTAAACTTTAAGGTAATAAACAAATAAAAACAGTGAATTTCTTAAGAATATAATTCGCTTATATTAAGGGTAAAAACCCATAAAACGTTTCCATGAAACTAGTCAAAATCTCAAATTTGCTTTTTTTACCGAGAAGCGTATGCCATTTTCATTTTCAGCGTACTAGGTTTTTACAAAAGTCAAAAGATATAAGATATAAGTGAAGCATATATTGGAATATTTCAGAGTGATTTTTACTTYCACCAAAAGTAAATTATGCTAATGACTGGCGGGCATTTTGGATTTCGCTTTTCACACTGGAATCAAATCCAATATTATTAATTTTAGGCCGAGTCTAAAAATCGCGGACAATTTTAATGGGTTAGAAAATGTTCCTAACTTAATAGCTTTACTTATCCATGCAAAAAAATGTATTACTTACTAGGCTAGTTAGTGAAGAAAGATGATATTGATCCGCCATGTTTAGATTAGTTATTCGGTGTGTCATGACTTCAATTATTATTGGGATTTTTAACTAACATACTTTGCGTTCTATCATTTCAGGCCGTTGTGTCTTTAATGAGGGAGCAATGTCGTTGTCACGGAGTATCTAGTTCTTGTACTGTGAAGACATGTTGGCAGTCTTTACCGCGATTCGAGGAGGTTGGTCAAGACCTCAAGAAAAAGTACATTGRCTCTGTGCAAGTAGTGTACATCAAAAGAAAAAAGAAACTYAAGAGGAAAGGTCGCAAGAAAGTCCGTATAAACAATACTTCGCTTATTCACTTGCATGCTTCTGTGAACTATTGCGACCGAGTGTCTGGACGAGAATGTCGAAGAGACTCTCAGGGACGAGATAGTTGCGAGTCATTATGCTGCGGCAATGGTTATAACACACGGACTGTACGAGAATCTATGCAATGTGCATGCAAATTTATATGGTGTTGCAAAGTGAAATGCAACGTATGTGTGAATATCAAAGACAAGTTCACTTGTAAGTAAATGCCACGTCATCGCCACGTCATCATGTATGATGTCAGTATTACGTCATCAAATGACATCATTGTAGTACTGTGATGCACCAGAATGGAATGCAATCTATACATGACAAAAAAGTACACTTAAAAATAGATTATCAAGCATGATGTCATTCATCTTTGCTTCGTCAAATGACATTGGATATGTTGTCAAGTTTGACGTCATCAGCATGTTAACAAGTGACGTCATTGTTGYATATGSATTCTAAATATTGATGATCCTTTATAAAGAAAGGACAAAACTAAACCTGTGAAAATCAGGCTTGTAGCATTTATGGACGAAAATTWAGTCATGATACAGGACGATGCAAACTAGTTAACCTAGTCTTTCCTCGCTATGAGTACTTTAGTTTATGAGAAACAAATGATTTTCTCTACTCGTAGATCCAAGATATTTGTTGTCAGTGAATAAACGAAATTATTATTATTTTTTGCTMTGCTAATGTAAAARTRTGAGAATTTCTTTGTTCGTTTTCCRGGTGCATTACATGGGGTTGGGTTTTGTAAGTCAACAAGTATTACTTTCTTTTTATACATGTCTTTAGATATAGCCATTTCATAACATTGTTTTTATAAATTTCCCACAGCAAAAGAAACTGTAAATTTCGTCTTTCGTCCACCGTTTCATAGAACGTACGTCCGCCATCTTTATCAATACCATGATGCACTTCGACAATTTATCATGACGTCACAAGGACCAAAAAAGCCATTAAATGCATTGATCACTTTAATAGCTCGAGAAACGACAAAAAAAAAACACGAGCCATGTGTTTACGACGCGAGAAAAAATAATACAGAATAGTATTAATTGTAAGCTATCTAGACAAGAAGTTATAGAAGATCCTGAAAGCAAACGCTTTCCACGAGGCAGAATTGGCCGCCCAGAATGGTATATTTAGAAGTAAATATATGCTTTTTGTCGAGATTTTTTTCCAGCTATTTTTCAAGTTTTCCATTTACAAATGAATATATTTTCTTATTGAAAAGACCTTATTAAAAATGGAATTCTCTTTGGATCTAATGAAAGCACCCTTATGTCACATACATATTTCGACAAAGACTCGACGGATTTTAATTATACCGACTTTTTTTATCAATACATAGACTATGAAACGCCTGAGGCTGTCATTACTTTATAGCATTTTTGATGTACTGTGCGTACACACACACAAAAAAAACAAGATTTATAGCATGAAAATAAAAAAATTGGCGAGAAAGAGAATTTRTCATCAAATATCTGCTCCTGTTCGACTTGAATTCGTGACTTAAATTGCTAAATTTCTCGTAAACTGTACAGCTTAGTTGAGGACGTCATATCTTACAATATAATTAGTAAAATATTGGACATTTTGAAGCAATGATTATAAGGCTAATGTGTAAAATGATTARAGAAGCGAATTTTGAATTTATGTCCCTAAAGCCGCGGCTACACGAGCGATTCTTCGCTTGCGCAGACGACGCGATTTTCTCAAAATCACCAGCGTACGATGTAGCTACACGAGAAACAAAGCTGTATCGATAAAAAAATCCTCACAAATACTTATTTGAATCTTCATAAAGAGGTTTATGAATAAAAACAGCTCAAAATTGATGTTCAGCTTTCAGCGTACCCGAAAATTGCGTCGCCTGCGCAAGCGAAAAAGCGCTCGTGTTGCCGCGGCTTAAGGCGTTCCATAATATTGGTTTATATAGATTCATGTAAATGATTTTTTTATTTGGTTGATAGAATGCTGAAACTGATGTAGTTTTTAGGTGTGGGGCGTTGGAAATTATTATGACCTCAAAGGGGGGATTTTAGTTTCGATATGACGTCATGTATGTTTACTGCAAGGAGAATAGTCGTCGAAAACAAGGAAAATACTGGAAATTTCTTTAATTTACATTGAATTACATTTATATTATGCATTCCATGGCTTTTCTTTTCTTTTCAGTGTTTTCAAGTCAAAAACTATAAAACCTGCACTCATCTTTTCCCACTAATGACGCCATTCAGTCGAATGAATGTCAATCTGAACACAAAACTGAGAAAACGAGAGAATATCTCAATGATAACCAGATATAATACCTTTCCTCAATATAGTCAAAAACCATAAGAAAGGCCTATATTGAAGTAGAGAGCTTTTTAGCTTCTTTTAATATAAATTGCAATTGAGTTTTTTTAACTTAAAAGTCGTCTCACTGGGGTGTGAAATTATATAATGAATATTTTGATAGAATTCGGTGAAAAGAATCGTAATTTCATAGAATTCCATTAAAAATCATTAAAAAGGCTTATATTGAAGTAGAGAGCTTTCTACCTTATTTTGATATATGAACCCAAGTGAGTTTTTTGTGAACTTAAATGTTTGTCTGTCTGGGGATGTGAAATTTTATAATGAATATTTTGATATGGAATTCTATGAAGAAGATTGTAATTAAAGTATTTTGTAAGTGGCAACCTGCATATAAATTCATGGCGGGTTTAATTTTAGGGAGTTCTGCTTAGATGTACACCTGCATTTGCGCCCTTGCTATGTTGATTGTAAATACTATATTTTGTTCTTTAGAACAAAATTATACTCTCATTTCTCATCCAAATGATATATTATCAAAATTTTATTTTATCTAATACAATGAAGTCTTCTAAGTAAACATCCACCATTTGAATAGAAATCGTAGCTACAGCTCTTGTTTTTCCGCTTTCTGGCGTTATTTAAGGTCTAGTAATTTATGGAATCGATAGATATTATCCCGCTATCGAGATTTTTTTTAGTTTCTTCTTTTAAAAGCAAATAAAGTTGAAATAGACTGTGTTCAATTCAATGATATTTTTACGTATTTGACCTTGTAGATCATTTCTGTGTCGCAAGCCCAACGTGTGATCTTTTTCCCCTTCATATCTGTCCAATTTCCTAAAAATACACTGTCAATAAAGCTGTTTTTAAGTTTTAGTCGGAGCTTCAAGCTGAATGACACTCCGCTTTGACGTCATGTTATATCATATATGCAGAATTTTCATATTCTTCTGCTGTCTCTGAGTGATGTCAGCCGTTTGGTTGCGTGAGTTCTTCGGCCGCTCCAAGCGTTTCTCAAACGAGAAAAAGATTATTCCTCGTTCTATTGTCTAGAAAAAGGTAAAATAGACTTAAATTTTTACTCAGATTTTTCTTATTTAATAGAATGGAATATTTGTTTCAACGGCAAATCCCTCTCCAAAGTCCTTMATTATATAATCAAGCGTTAGTTGTTCTCGTTTCTATGTCTCGTTCTGTTCTCCTTTCATGGACGTATTTTTAGTAGCTCTCCTTTGTAAACATGGTATGTTTTTACTTGTTACCAGAAAACGTTAMTTATAATGATTTTGGGAAAAATAGRAACCTTTTCCTATAACCACAAACTAATAATAACAGACTTCTTTCATTATAAAGCAAAATATTTTTTAATTCGAATTAGTTTAAAAGAAAGTCAAAAATCGCTCATGCAGATAAACGCGAATTTGTAGTTCTACATGTTGAGCTTCGCAGAAATTCGCCACATTCGACACGACTTGTTTATTTACACAGAGTCCGACTAGAACTGATCAATGAATATGAAAGAGTGTTCTTTTCATGACACCGATATCCGCGCGAAAATGAATATAACAAAAACAAAATAAAAAATACAGCTATAACGCAAGCCCTCAAGACCCTCTCCTTTGTTATTTTTCACTACTGGAAATTCTCTTTCCGAGGGCTCTACTAGTGAAAATAATTTAATCCCCGCGGCTCCTTGAAAAAGAAGTTTCGATTGAGTCACGATGAAAAAAGCTGTTATAGTTGCGTTCATGTGGCGAGGGTTTTTTTTTTTATTCTCACCTTGTTTTGTAACAGCTATTGTCAACTATCTATCGCAAAACACAATAGATATTCTACAGAGGGGTGAAGTATTCTTAAAAAAGACCGGAAAATCTTCAATCACTTTTTGACAATCTCGTTTCAYAAAGATTGTTGTTGTTGTTTTGTTCTGTGTTTTGACTGTTTTATTTTTGTCTCAGGCTAAATCAGTATTATTTTGTATTAATTCGTCGGTTTTTGTATTCTACTGCTGTGTTGTTGTTCAGTTGTTTTTGTTTTTTGTTGTTTTTTTTTTTTTTTTGTGCCCGTGTGTGTGTTTGTGTCCACCGTTGTTTTCAACCCGAAATTTTCTTTAACTGAAATTGTTTTGCATTACAATTTTATATTTGTTTCGTATCGTTATTCAGTTAGATTCTTTTGTTTCAGTGTAGCTATTCCATATATGCTATTTAGGTTTAGTAAATGTTTGATAACTCGTATTGTCCCTTGCTTGAACCACCTTAGTACGGCCGAGTCGGAGGTAGTCTCCTCGCAGTCGTACTAAGAACGGCTGCGAGGAGACTAAGTCGGAGGGAAGCCGCTTAATTTCCTAGAAATACAGCTGAGGTTTTTTCTTAATCCTAGTCGACCATTTTGAGATTACTTTCATTTGTTTTTCTGTCCTTATGCATTTGCAACAATTGGATAATTTTCCAATCGGTGATCTAAATCGACCTAAAAAAATGATTAAAGAAAACAACGACAACATCAACAGCAAGTAGCGGGAAAATCAAGCACAAATCGATTTGACCTTGTATTTGTATAGCTCATTAGTTTGCGTATATTGCATACCACATTTGATAACAGTCCACGGTTTGATGGGAAATTTGCGTATCAATAACATCAGAATAGAATGATATATATTACTTTTTCTTTTTAAAGTAAACTTTAAGTAAACAAAAGGGTAGAATATAAAAGCGTTCTTTTCAAAATATTGCMATGTGTTCCTGTGAAAATTGCAATTTCATTTCCAGTCCAATTAGTGCAGTCAGACTCGGAAACTGMTGAAGTTGAATATGATATATTTTTTGTGCGCAAATAAATCATTGTTCGTAAAATGACATTTAACTGGCTTTATACGGCATTTTATTGGCTTTACCTCCCTGAGGTTGCATTTTATTGGCTTTACAATATTTGACTGGCTTTTTACAGTTTGCACGTTTATTGCAGGGTTTGTGATCACATTAAATTTTGAAGATAAGCCCGTTCGTTGTGAATAGAATCCTCAATTTGACATTGAATTTGATAATGCATTGAATTTGTCTGGCTTAAAAGACTTATTTTATTAATCTCTGCAAAGGTTAATGACTATTAGTATTCTAAGCCGGTATAGAAAAGCCAAAAAGGTTTTAATCTAAGATAGTTGAAGATAGCCAGCACCTGTTGTGGTGTTTAAGCCTTTTTAAAGACCTTGTCGGCTATAAAAAGGACAAAAATGGTTTGGTTTTAGGTTCTTTTGTGTGGAAACCRATAAGCTATTTTGGTGAATTGCTAATGCAATTAAACGACCTTTCGTTTGGAAACAAAGAATCTCATTGATTTTCATCAACACCATTTTTATTTTTACAGTTGGATTAAGAAGCATACCTTATAGGAGACCGACCATTAAGCAATTTTTGATAGATATTTTTGGGTGGCAACGACCATAAGACTCATAATGACACAGAATTCCCAGAGGAAAAAAAAAAGACAAATCCACCGCCGCCATTTTGAATGAATGAACAAGAATAAGAATTGATGTATTATTTCACCCAATATGGCTGTCGTTACGTAACTTGCATTTCGAGACGCTTTTTACAGACAGAGTTTTGATTCTTATATTATCACGCATGGTAGCTGTACAGGGAACTTTACAGTCTCAATAAAATCGAAAATACGCTTAACACTATTAGTAATATCGATGGCTCTATTTTATGTTCTTGGGAACATTCGGCCCTGAACGCAGTTCTGCAGCGTTGTGAGAAAAGCCCGCGTGTTTGACATACTTGGTCATTTAGATGACTGAATTTCCCCGCCTTAGTTTCCAAGGTTTTGTTTCACAAGAAAGTTTCAGCGTGTAACAGCGCTCTCCGTCACGACGTGTAGCTATTTTAAGAATTTTTGACGGAAAACTAAACGGATGGAATATTACGTGCTAATTGTGCGGTACATTATATTGCCTTCGCTTCAAGTCAATAACTACTACACTAATCCACAACCTAATAGTATGACTCAGAGAACCACAAGCCGATAATTAAGCCAAGCAAAATTGAGTGAATTGTCGTCATTGTATGCTGCTTTGTTTTCAACGTTTCAAGCCATGGCGGTGAGTGTACTTGAGACCACTATAAAACGTGAAAGACTCAATACTATTCAAGAAATCATGAATACATTTACTAAGACATCTTGGCTACATTAAACTCAATGACTTTTCATTGATAAATGTTGAATATGAAAATCTGCAGACTTCTTAATCCAAAATAATTGATGACTAATCGTAATTCGTCGAATATTCACCACGACATGAATTTGTCAAAAGAGCATATTTTCAGCGTCTAAGTGTCTGTTTACTCGAGTGAAAAACAAAGAAGAAGAAAAAAAAGTCAGACGAGTTAATTTGTGTGTTTGCCTAGAGATGTTGGCTGTTTTTTTTTTTGTTTTTTTTTGCCACAAAAAAAAATTGTATAATAGGCACAGCGGGTCTTTTTATTATAAATTTTGATCCACAATTAAACCTCTTTCCTTCAAGCCAGTATAATTAAAAATAGATAGCTTAGTTTTAAAAATAGATCTCGAGTACACTTTATTAAGCCCAAAAATGTTTGCTTTTCGTCTATAAATTCACACATTTTCAGCCGATTAAACGGTTTTATTGATGTATATTACACTCTTCATTGCACAAACACGGTAAATTGTTGCTCTATTTCAAGAATACGAGATGTGATCGTCATCTCCAAGCAGCCCTGACGTCATAATCTGTCATTCTTACGGTAAAATAACATGACGCGTTTGTCAACCAAAATTTTTATTTAATTTACTAGGTTAAACATCAAAAAGCAAGCCATATATATATAAGTTGTTGTTAATATCCTCTCTATAGCATGATTTGGCGGTTTGCATCTGTATACGGTTGGCCAGTCCGCAATGATGACTTGACAGCATTTTACGTCATAACAATTACCACAGCTCGGTCACTGCTTTTATTTTATCAATTAACGATATAAATTCTAACATGGTAATATAATGTACTTTTGTGAGGAGTTTGCCCATCTGTTCGCATAGGAGGAGAATTCATTTAGAAACCAAACTCAAAAGAAAGCGAAATCAACTTAAATTATGGTACAAATATCAAAACGGAAATTGCTCGTATTTATCGGACAATAGGAACAAAAAAGCCCATCTAAAACATTTCCTAAACACTTGTTAATTCCTGTGTAGTTATTGCTTTTGAGGAGTATTTTAAGGCAGTAATCGATATTAAAATAGACGTATTGTTAAAACGTCGAATTTCGTGTTCTAAAATATTGGTCTTATGGTTGAACGTCATCTAAAATAATGTGTATTCAAAACAAACCACACAATACTCTTGCTAAGACCACAAAATTGTCATAAAATCGGAAAGCAATATGTTCCTTATCAATCACTCCATTAGTCTCCTGTAGTAGTGTATTGCTTTTGAAGTGAATTTATACCAAACACCGATGTGTCGGCTGCTTGGATACACGTAATTGTTCTAAAAACCGACTGACATTTTTTTTTTTCAGTTCTTGCGTCCAAAGCGTCAAGTCTCACAGGTGATGTCGTCAAAGTTCGACGCTTCGTATCTCGATGCTGGGTCATCAAGAAACATGTACAAGAAAGCCGAGGAGAATGTGTATTTTCCGTCTGAAAGAATTAGTGAATATTGCGGTCTACAAGC